GCTGGTAACAGAGGAAGAGGAAGGCCTCCTCTGCGTTGGAAAGACCAGGTGGAGAAGGACTTGGCTTCACTTGGCATTTTCAATTGGCGTCAGTTAGCACAGAAGAGAAATGACTGGCGTGCTGTTTTGGACTCGGCCAAAATCGCTTAGGCGGTTACAGCGCCAAATAAGAAGTAGAAGATATATGTATGCATGTAAAAACGTTATCAATTAATGGAGTACATATGTACGTACATATGCATGGGGAAATGCATTTTCATCTGACTCCAAAACTATTGAGGCATATTCGTAGACCAAATAAAGTCGATTCTTAAGTTAGTTTCTCAGTCCCAAATAAGAAGAAAGTTAGTTGCATCTTTTTTTCACAGATGCCTAATCCACTGAAAGTGATGTGAAAAAGCTGTAACTAACTTTAGTGTCGACTTTATTTTTACTATGAAAACAGTGAAAAATGATAATGAACAGTTTTTCTCAATATAAATAACTTTTCGACAAAAGCAACTTTGAAGTTAACACGTGCAGTGCAATCAATGCATTTGTACCTTCTTTGTCAATGTATCCATCTTTGAAGTGGATTTGTGAGAAAACTAAGGCAGCTAGAAAACTGTGGTTTGTTGCATTGAAAATAGCGTAGCATCTACCATTTGAATCGGTAAAAAGTAAAAGTCGATTTTTTCAACCCAAATGCCGACGTCAAATCTCCACCAAATTTGCCAATTGCATACTACATATTTGCATAACTTTCACATTTTGATTCACAAAATTGTATCTCTCACATACATATGCATGTACACAATATGTACATATTACATATTTCGACCCACGCATGCATTTATTTTAAATAATTAACCAATTTAAAGAACAATAAAAGCGTTGTAAAAACGTAAAAAGCCATCAGCATTGCATGTCTAACAAGAAAAATATGCTTTGCTTTGATGAGACAATTTTTGTTAAATTTATTTTGCCTCTGGCTGGGCTCTGTTAAAATTCGATTGTCTCTGGCTTGCGGCTCTTAAAATGCGCTTCGTCAGTTTTGTTGGTATTTGACAGTTTCCACGCTGATTCGTTCTTGGACCTTCTCTATAAATATACGTTCTCTGGTAAAAGTATTGAAGTGCTATTGTGACTGTAGGCTCGGTTTGTTTTTGTTTATTTGTTATTGACGTTTGGTTTTTCTTCTTTTTGCTCATGAATAAATCACAATAAGCAATTTTCAGAGTGGTATTCGCGAATTCAATTTCGCTGAAAATTCATACGCAATTTCACGTGATATTTTTTTATACGGTCAAATTGAGAATTGTATCGCGATTTCAGCTGAAATTGAGGATAATGACGAAATTGCGCAATTCAGGCATCGTGGAAATACCCTTTATGAATTTGATACCACAACTTTGATATTGTACCACGTTTTGTTGTTGTCGCGTCCCATGATTCAATAATAAAAGGATAATTATGAGATAATTATTGGCAGCCGCGGTTTAACACTCTCTTACAAAACAAAAGGTTGCACTTACGAAGGACAGAGAAAGAGGAAGAATGAAACCCCTTGGTGCGAAAATGGTAGTAGAAAAGTACGCAAAGTCGGCAATTACTATTACTATTTTACAGGAAAATTGCAGGAAAATTGGCATTTCAAACGAAGTATTAAGAACTATACGTGAATTTTGTAATTTATTTCATTGGTTAATTGTGCTTTATTTGAATATAAAAATAAACATATTGCACAAAAAACGTATACTTTTGTTTCACACGTACATAAGCTACTATTTTTTTTAATTTGCACGGCTAAGGGAGCGGTGCGAGAGATACAATTGTCAGTGTATCGAACCATTAGTTATTGAATTATGTGTGCGCCCACCACTGTCGTATACGGTGTTATGCTTGAAACACAATACCTGGCGAACGGCAAATGTCGCCCTGCAGAGCAATGCCGACGACCAACTTTCGCCCAGCTAATTCGCTTACTGAAACACAAATAGGGCGGTATCGAGCTGTTCGAATGCTACAGCTGATAAGGTGACCATGTTTCAAGAAGGAAGCTTTTACAACGAAGAGGGAAAATACCAGCAAGAAGAAGTTTAAAATATAGAAATAGTCTTTAAATATAACTACTAGTAAACTTACGTTTTACTAGATTAATCTCTGATAGAAAAATATAAGGTATATTATTTTACTTTTAAACAAATATTACGATAACTTTTAAAGTACGGTCATCATGGCCTTTTTTTGTCGTTGCCGTTGACCGCGGCGATAGAAATAAATCTATCGTCGCGAACAGTCGTCGAGCAAACTTCGTCGTTTGCTTTGGTTGTGCCCGTTCTCATATAAATCAGTGTGTTTTAATTATCTCGGCGAACATTCGCGACGAAAAATTTGCCGTTCGCCGTGCTTCAGCTTTAAGCGATGCAGCAGTCACAATAGCGCTTCAGTAAAAAATACCTTTAGTGTGGCTTAACAATGGTAAATAAAAAAATAAAATAAAACAAATTTCTCTACTTCAGAGGTGTTATGACCATTAATATTACCTAATAACCACTCAGGGNTAAAATTACAAATTTCTCTACTTCAGAGGTGTTATGACCATTAATATTACCTAATAACCACTCAGGGGACCTCTGACTTTTAAAATGACACCTCATTAGTGGAACTGCTCACATAGGAAAATAGAAAAAGGGAGACTAACAAAAAAACACCTTAGAGAAATAATATATATGATGATGATTGGCGCTTACACATATGTTAGTGTTTGACCGAGCTTCTCCTCCAATTTGTGGCGTGCGCCTTGATGTTGTCATGGCAGAAATACACTCGGAGGTTTGCCATTGCTGCCGAGGGACGACCGCTGTTAAGAAAAAACATTTTTTCTATAATTTTTTTGCGATGTTGCTTTAACCAGGGTGAAAACGCACCATGGATGACCAGCCCGCTATGAAAACCACCGAGTTTCTATATATAGAGAATCACACCGCCATAGAGGAGCGTTCTTTATTTATATAAGATTCTAAACCTAACTGCCTACATAACTAATCTACTGTACATAACACTTCCATGGTGCTATGCACATATAACTTAAACCTAATTAAACACCAACACGCATCCAGACACTGTCCAAGGTCGCATCACATATTAAGATTTAAAATACAACGCATATTTCGTACTTTTGGCTGTGCACATAAACGTAAGCCACAAATCATGCCTTCAAGCATCTCTTACCCATGTGATAAGTGTCCTTGAGTCGCATGGTTTGCTTTTCCTTACCTAAACATTTATGCCCCTATTATGATTCACAACTCAACTGATAGTTTAGTTGTTTCGTATTACGATTTACAACTCAACTCAACTTTCAATCAGCTGTTCACTTAGTTGTCTTCGTTAAGTTGTTACCAGTATTATGGTTCACAACCAAACTAAAGATTAGTTGTATGAGCTATCAAAGTGCGACAACTACTTTTTATCAGTTGTGTTCTTGTTAGCGAGCGGTAAAATGGAAAAAACATTGAAACTGTTTGTGATTAAATACGTAAAATATGCAGCAAATGCATGATTAAACGATTATTTAAGGAAAATATCAAACAAGCAACAAATTGACCGCCTTGTCGATTTAGTCGAAAAACATCCCGACATTGGAAGAGGGAAAGGCCAATACGGATCTAGTCGGCAAGAAACAAAAGATACTTGGGTGCAGTTTGCAGTCGAGCTGAATAGCCTTGGACCGCCATCAAGAACAGGGCCAGAATGGCAACGGGTAAGTTACTTTTAACCAACTCAAAAAACAACACTTTATTCTGATTTTTCTATTTAGGTATGGATTCATTATAAAGCCAACCTGAAAGGAAAGTTGGCGAAAAATAAAGAAAGCTTCCTGGCGACCGGCGGCGGCCCATCCCAAGAAGTCAGTTTGACTGCTAGTGAAGAAAGGGTGTGTGAGCTCACTCAAGTTAACTTATCAATTAATCCCCCTGGGAGCGCGTTCGGGTTAGCTGTTGATTTGACCGCAGAAGAAAATGTAACTCCTCCAGCTACTGATTCGCCGGTAGTTAATGAAAATGCCGTGCCCACGAGACCCAAAGGACTGAAGGCAAGCGAAGCCAAAATTCAATTACTCGAAGGGCAGGCAGAAACACAAACTCAAATTCTGCGAACCCTCAAAAAAATAGAAAGCACGCAGCATAAAGTGTACCAGCTAAAGAAAGAAGAAGTGAATTTGTTGAAGGAACGTCAAAAAGAAGCAAGTGTCCTTAGGAAGCTAAAGATAGAAATTGCTAAAGAAAAACTGAAAAGACTGAAGAATTTGTAATGGGTGATGTCTAGCGTATATTGAGAAATGGAACTTTTTATAGAATTATTATGTTTTTTAATGAATTTAATTTTTTTTCAATGTAGATAACCTCTTTTACCACTTAAGAACCACGTTGATTTTATTAGTTACATAAGTACCTCTTTACTTGAAAAATTAATTTTTTGTTACTTTTTAGGAAATGAATTAATTTATTATAAAGAATCAAAAATTTTGAAATAAAACAAATGATAAATTTTCATATAGAAAAATTCTAGGACTTTTCATTCGTTTTTCAATATTTGGTGTAGTGAAGCACTGCTAGTATAAATATGTAAGTATACACGCAAACATTTTCTATAATTACTGGTATAGAAAAACAATGAACTCTGAAAAGAATTAATATTTTATTCAACAAAAAAACTTTTTGTGTAACACATAATTTAATGTATAGTTAAATCGTTAACGGATACGATAACGGCCCAGAAACGTAAGGAACATACATAGACATATGTTTACTTGCCTTAAAGGAAAGGCGTTCGCTTTATGAGCGAAGAGTTAAATTCATGAAAATCATACAAAAAAATTTTAATGTCAATGATGAATAAATTTTAAAAAGGGCTAGGGGCAATTTCAAATTTTTGTGGCCAAAAAAAAAATTTGGTAGCCAAATTTAGCCACCAAAGGGCTAAAACGGCAACACTGCTCATACTGATATTGACTTCGGCAAATCTGTACTCGAATGATCGTGCACGAAATCAGCAACCGCCGTATTTGATCGACTGCCAAAAGCACGATACTGCTTTGGACGGTTGCCGAAAGCATGACAGCTTATGTGAAAAACTGGCGAAGGCAAGATGCCGCAGTTAGCTAACTTGATTTGTTGCAGAAGTCAAACCGCCGCCTTTGGTTTGTTGCTGAAGGCGCGTTTGACGTGTTGCCGAAGTGATGATAC